GTGAAAAGTAACTAAACAGTGACCTTTTTTTAAACTATTGATTATCACTTAACGTTTATACCAGTATTACGTAGATAATTATAGAAGGTCAATATTAGCGGAGATAGTAAAAGAGGTCACTATTCAGTTACTTTTCACCAACCCGGTAGTGAATTTAGGAGTTTGTGGTTTTCACGCTTTTTTTTTGACCTAATATGTATAAGTATATATGTAATTCAATTTTTATAAAAAATCGTTTTTATGCATCGCAGCAGTATATATTTAGATTATGTACCACAGATTAAAATAAAAGTTATGTTACGTGTGAGAATTTAAATATGTACTGTACGTTTTGACTATTCTAGATTACGCAATAATTGCAGAGAAAAATACGAAACCCATACATTTTTATATAAATATTTTTGTTCGAGCTCTTTTATGATCAGGGGACTCATCTACTTCGACCCTATCCTTCAATAGACTAACAAGTACCTGTACAACTTTTTTTACATCTTTACATAGTTCCGAATCATCTTCCAAAGCATCTCTGTTAATTCTAATACTATACTCATTTTCTATACGGTAAAACCTTTCTGGGGTATATAAGATAAAATACCAATTGGTTGCTAACAGTAATTAATCGATAATCATCAGTTTATGTACGCTTAATATAATAGATATTTACGGAATATACCTGTAGTAACGATTCCATACAAGTAATCAAAAGCATCTTTACCAAATGCTTCTGCATTTCGTTTTTTTGAATTTTTATGGTGAGAAGCGTTAAGTTGTAGAACATTTTGTCCGAATCCCATTAATATATCACTCTGTTTTGCTTCAGTTATTGCTATCAATTCGTCATTTCCAGTATTATCTTTGACTTTAACAGCGTAATCAACTCGACCCGCTCTTTCATCAATTATCTCAAACTGGCATTTTGGAATTATTGTTTTGTTGGTAATTTTCCTGGCGATATGGATTGATGAATGAATTATTGGAGAAATATAATGACAACGCTCAGCTTCGTTAAGTTCAGATGCTGGACCATAGAGTTCTATCTTCTGTTTTATATCATCTATGCAGAATTTAAGCCTTTCGTCATTGCTATCGATGTCAATAATTTCTATAAAAATAAACAGTTTAAAAGTTCAGCCCATCTTAATCAAAAAAATCAAAACGTTATGCCCTAACATGCCTGTTTTGAATGGCAAAATCGATGTTATGTCAGCATCTTCGTATCCGAACTTGTTAAAAACCTCTTTCACCTCTTGCTTAGTCTTGCACGATGAAAAATTTTTTAATTTTTTCTCTTTGACTTCCTTGACGAAGTCTGCGAGACGTTTCGCGGGTCCACTTTTCAGGCCATTATCTATAAAATCTTGTTTGGTTGAATTAAGAAAAACACGACCAGTGACCTCTTCCTTGCGTAAGATTTCAATATGAGTGTCATCAAGTTGCAGGTCGCCTTTATTCTCACTCAAAAATTTGATAAGTTGCTTGTTATCGTACTTCCGAACAAACTCAGCCAATGTGGGAGCAGGTTTTCCACTACCGTATTTCACGGTCCAAACCACCCTCCCCCAGTAAAATAATTATCGGTCATGCGGTTATTTCTATGGTGCATAT